AAAAAAAAAAAAAAGAAAGAAAGAAACACCACAAGCCTCTCAAAAACAATTTCAGACCAGGTACTAAAACTAACCCCCACCCCAAGTCCTAGATAATGTATAATTCCCATGGAGAGATACTTCTATGAAAACTATACAATAAGATATTTTGTTCATAACACTCTCTGATGGCATTTTGCAACTTCCCCAAGTATCACTGCCTGAACCAGAAATATTGACTTATAAAATACCTAAGGTAATATTTCCTAATCTACTAAATATCCCATTACAGAATAAGGTGTTATGTATCCCACTGATGGCTCCAAGCTCCCTGGGATGTTCCCATCCATCTTGCCCCACTGACTCACCACCCATCTTACTACCCTCCAGCACCTTCTGACTTCTATGGTCACCAGGCCCCACCTGCAGTTACAAAGGAGGAAGTGAACTCTCTTCCAAGCCCGAGTGGGTGACTTCCCCAAATCAGGTGACATGGGAAAGCATGTCGCCAGAAGTCACAAAATAGGCCCCTAGTGGGATGAAAGAGCATGGGCATCCTGGCTCGAATCATGACTGGACTCTGGGTAATAACCCAACGTTAACACAAGTTCTGAGGGTAGGCTGTGATGGCACAGGTTCCATGGCACAGTTTGGGGCTCTCTCTTTAGCGTGGTCTCAGGGACAGCCCTCTCTCCTGTGCCAGGTCATTATGAGTCTTTGACAGCCAGTGAGGCACTGTCAGGCCAATGGAACTGAATATAACAAATTATTCAGATGGAATCACAGGTGACCCTACTGTCACAGACTGATTCAGCCAGTAGTCACTTGGTCTGGGCTTCCCATTTTCTTTCTCTTGGCTCCAATCACTGCCTCGTTTCTCAGCCAACCACAGAGAAGTACAAGAGGATCCTGGATTCCTGTATCCTGCCTTTTGCCAGGTCTACCTGCCCTGATTTCCCTGTGGTTGCATATTCAGTTGCCTGCTCAACAAAGTTGCATTCAGTTTTACTGTGTTTCTGATGCATAGGTACCACTGGGTCCCATCCAGGACCAAAGCACCCTCCCCTGTGCCCCCAGCTCAGATACAGAGTTCTGTAGATGGCCCTCAGGTTGGAACCCAGGGTCCAATGGCCTGTCTAGGAAGGTCAGAGTGCCGATGACCCAAACCACATGACTGAAACATTAGCTCTCCCTTCAAATAGTATCTGTACCTGTCCTTGCTAAAGGGGTTACCCATGAAGAGTGATGTGATTCACGAGAAAGGGATACATGGTTTAGGATCTCTAAGGAGGTATCACTCACGGAATAGATTCTTCTGCAGATCTCGAGAACAAATATGGTGGAACAGTGAAGTGGTCATGATAGTGAGTATCAAGCCTGGGAGGGAGACTGAGGCTAGTTTCCCTTATCCACATGATTATCTTTATTAGAAAAGGCAACCTAAGATCCTTTGTGGGGTTTCAAGTATTTTTCATAATATTTCTCTGGTAGTGTACCTGGGCTGTCCATTTACATTGAAGCTTCACTTGTCACCTATCCAGATCCCTCAGAACTTCCCTGGGAGGTGTTCCGCCTTTCTCTTGGGAAAAGATGCAGGGGAGGAGACAGTAGCACGCATGATCTACCTTTCAAGGCCACAGACTAGAACTAAACTAAACTCAAGTAAGACTGCAAATGAATGGACCTGGAGCACAATAAAATATATTTAGTGTCTATGTATGCCTGGTAAGAGTTGAGCCCAACCTCCTTACGAAGAGAACAGGCTGATCGTCAAATCTTCAGGTCTTTGGATTGAAGGAAGGGGGAAATGCTGCACACAAGAAAGAACCTGCTTGTAATTCGCCCTCTGTAGGTTTTCCAGTGGGTTGATGGTGGCCTCTCAAAAGGTATGTCCACCCAGAAGTAATTAAAGTTAAGGAGCTCCAGATGAGATCACCCTGGATTATTTGGATGTGCCCTAAATTCCAATGACAAATGTCCCCATATAAGAACACAGGGGAGAGGCGCCTGGGTGGCTCAGTCAGTTAGTCAGCTCAGGTCATGATCTCACGGTTCGTGAGTTTGAGCCCTGCATCAGGGTCTCTGCTGTTAGCGCAGAGCCTGCTTCAGATCCTCTGTCTCCCTCTCCCTCTGTCCCTTCCCTGCTCTCTCTCTCTCTCTTTCAAAAAAAATAAAATAAACATTAAAAAAAATGGCAGGGGAGATTAGAGACACAAGAGGACAAGCCCTTGGGAAGATATAGACAGAGGCAGAGGTGGGAGGGACACAGCCACAGGCCCAGGAGCAGCTGGAGCCACCAGAAGCTGGAAGAGGCAAGAAACGATTCTCAACAAGAGCCTTCAGAGGAGCTACCGCCATGTCGATACCTTGAGTTCAGACTTCTGGACTCCAGATTGTGAGACGATAAATTTCTATTGTTTCAAGCCACCCGGTCTGTGATCATCTGTTACGGCTGTCCTTAGAGAGTAACACAGGTTTAAATCATGGCCTTAATCAGGGCTGAGAGTTTTAAATATTTGAAAATCCATGAGGCTGTCCTGCAGAAGGAGGATCTGAGAGCCCAGGTTTGGCCAGACCTCCCCTCTCGCTGCTGGTGACGAGAACACACAGGACCCCAGAGGAGGGACCACAGTGGCCGAGGCTGGGTGCTGAGGCCGAGTGCACTGGGCCGGGGAGAGATGCTCCAGGCAGAGGCTCTTGACCAGTATTTTAAACGCTGGAACAGCTGTCCTCGTGCACCCCCTGAGGCCAGCTCTGGCTAGAACCACTTCCCACACAGACCTGGAGCTCTGGCCCCGACTGCTCCTTCCCCGGTAAGCCACAGGGCACCCAACACCTCTCCCCACTGCCACCTCTCACATTCCAGCTGCCCCCAAAGTGAGCCTGCTCCCCACTCAGGCCCCACTCGGCCTGCTGATTCTCCCTTCTAGCTCAGTGGCATGAAAACGCACCCATTCTCCAAATCAGAACAAAACTGGAATCCGCCCCAATGTGAGGGCCTCACATTCAGTCTGCTAGAGGTGTCAGGGTCCTGTCCCCTCTTTTTACGGCCGTGGCCAGTGCCCCTTGTGTCTGGGTGGTCACAGGACTGTCAGGGTGTCCCTGCCCCAGGACC